ATCTCTAATGGTGCATTTCCCCCTCCCTGACAACTGTCTCACAATTTACTATTCGGATGAAAAGCCAGTCCATATAGCCAACAAACACACACACAATCTGAAATTCTCCACACTATCATACCCATGCTTTAAAACATTTTACAACACCACATCTAACATGCAATAGGAGTGAATTCCAGGGCATGATCCCAAACCCATTCTTTGGTTGTTTACCATGGCTACAGATGCCCACCTTGGCAATTTTAATCAAACCTCTGTCAAATCTTCACATGATTTTCTTTTCTCAAGAACTATCAAATACAATCCTCTTACTTACTACTATTGAGTTGCTATTTTAAAATAAAAAAATAAAATGAGTAAGCATATAATTTTTTTACCTATATTAGAGAAGCCAAAGCAACTGAAACTTAAAAACAAACAGAAGTCTCCATAACTGATGGTTTTTGAAGCTTGCCTATCGGTGAGCAGACTTGCTCAACACTCAGTGTTTTGTCAAATTAACCATCTTGAATATGACAGACTATTTGTAACCATAACATAGCACATGGGGGTCTCAAAATCTTTATAAGAAGTCATAAGAAATGCTGATAAAAAGCTATGTGCATAATACTTTCCAATTTAAAAATAGCACAATAAATGGGAACATTTTACTTTGTTGAGTCAAACAAGAAAGGGTAAAGACTAAACTTAAAGTATTTCAACCACTTAAGTTTTCTAGAATCCAGGAATGCACATCACATACACAATAGAGCCAAAGCAAGGTGCTTAATGAAACATTTCATATAGATAGCAGTTTGCACAATTACCTGCAGGTAACTTGAAAGCCATGGCATAATCCAGCCTTAAGAAATTAAATGCTTGTCGTGTCCCATCATGTCCAAGTATTGCATAACATAGGATAGTTAACAATGGAAGGTTTAAGAACTTTGACTGTGTTGTACTGCTCCTTATGCTGTGTCATACTACTGAAAAAATCTGCATGAATCACAGACCATATTATTCTTAAAATCCAGAGCTACACTGACTGTATTTCATAGAAGGACTTGGTGTGAAGCTAAAAAACAGCTGACTTAGAACATGTTAAGTTCTAGGGCATAACATTAATATATTTGGAAAAAAAATACAGTGCTGAGCAACTGTAGTCTGCCCTTTGTTAATTTTTCGCTGGATATTTAAAATTAACTTGACAGTCATTAAGTAAAACAACTTTACTTGTCCCAGTTCAATCCCTAGTGGACAAAACACGCACTACAGGACCCCTCAATTTTGCTTAACAAGACTGCCAGACTTGTGAGAGGAACAGTTAAGAACACAGGGCATATTTTAAAACCATTCTCACTAACAATAAGACTATATCATGAATGCCACCCATTACACTCCTGTTGCCAGTAATAACCCTTCTATCAGAGCCAAACAAAATACTCCACAAAATTTCAAGAGGGCAAGTAAGAAGAGTGCCAAACAAGCACAGTATCTTTTTTAGTCCGTTTTTCAATTCTCCTCATGATAAATTTGCATACACCAAAAAAACAGTAATTTCTCTGCATTTGAAAAAAGTACTATTACACCACTATATCGACACAATGTGCTTTCACATTTGCATGACTCACCTCAAAATCACCTACTAAATAAGACACACGCAAGCCTTTCAGTACTCTAACCATTTTCAACTGTTAGTTTCATACACTTTTCATAATACTCAAAGTTTCTGCTTAGTAAGAAATTACCAACTTACCTGGAAAGTTACCACTTTAAAACAAATCTTACTCCTGCCCTATGCAACCGTATTTATTACAACAAAACCAGAGTGATCCACAATCTACAGGGACTTGCTAAAACAAACGTGCGCTTTCAGTGTTTTTAAAAAAACATCTTACCTTGCCTGTCTTGTGATCAAACCAGACAAGAGCATGGTTCCTGGACAGCACCTTGCAGTCAAACGTGGCATTGTTCTGGGCTGGCCGGCAGCGAGCCACGGAGCGGCCGATCTTGACAGGCTCGTCCAGGTAGACATGACGCTCCTGAAACGGGTGGGAGTTCGGGCGGCAAGTGAAGATGGCCAAGGCTGAAGGCATCGAGGACAGATTGTGGTTGCCACACCAACCAGAGATGATGAGAGCCTCTTCTGATGCAGACTGTCCTCCACAATTTTTTAAAACACCTCCACGGCAACTTTATATTAAAGCAGGACAAATATTACCGTATTAGAGGCCTAACAACTCATTGTTTCAGTGTGTAAACTAATTCTGGCAATAACCCAGTGAAAAAATCCCATTATGTCTTTTAATAATATCAGCAGTGGCCCAAAAAAAGTCTAAAACATACAACTTTCAATCCATCCTTCTCTGGAAGAATAGGAATAAGCATCTGATTCCTTCAGAGAGAAGTAAAGGCCCAGGGAAAGAAGGATACAATGTCTTAAATCCAAGTAGATGAGTCATACAAGTACTTTTGTTTGTAACCTCAACTGCCTTCTTTTCCCCCCCCTTCCGTAAACAACACTGACCAAAAGTCTGACCAATGCAACATGGAAACAAGGAAAGGTTTAGGGAAGGGGGATGAAGGAGAAAGATTAGCGTCCTCTCACACACGGCACAGATCAGGAACTGGAAGGTGAATACAAAGCCCTCGCTCCAGAACAGGGACCTACTGGTTCACCCAGCAATCCGCATTTCACCATCTTCGTGTGTTAAACCCCAGCAGAATAAGTGGTGGTCCTCGATTTAGGATGGAGTGCGAGAGACACACTGTTTTTCTCCCCTACACCAAATAAAGCTGAACTGGTCTACAGCTTCTGGGAGCCGCTGAGATAAGGAACTTGATAAGGCATGGAGAGAGCTCCCAACTCTCCTTCTCCCGAGGACAAACCAACGCGTGGGAAGGGTTCTTAGGGCCGGCCTGCGAAGTGCCCTGACAGGTCGCTCCCCGGCGGTGGCTCTGGCTGGCGGCGGGGTCGGTGTGCGTCCCTCGGCGGCGGCTCCGCAGGGGCGGGCAGCGGGGGCTGCCCCGGGAAGTCCCCGCCAGGAGCCCCCGGCGTGGGGCGCGGCGGCGGCGGCTCCGCTCAGCCCCTCCGCAGGTGGCTGCGCATGAGGCGGGCCCGCTGCGCACCCCCGCGCTCTCTGCCCGCCCAGCACGGCTCCGCTGCCCCGGCGGCGGGAGAGGCCTGGCGGCCGGGCCCGGACACTCCCGCTCGGTCGCTCTGCCGCTCAGGCGGCCACCGGCCGCGGGAAGTTTTCTCCAACCTGCGGGGCCCAAAACAAACCGGGTCAGGCGCGTCCCTCAGCACGTCCCCCCGCGTCTCCTCGGCCCCGTGGGCGGCACGGGGCGCGCCCCGCTCCCCCCTTACCTTGCGCGCAGCCGCCGCCATAGCGCCTGGAGCCCTTCCCGGTGTGGCCGCGGCGGCGGGGCCGGGCGGGGCGGGGCCGGGGGCGGGCAGCGTGCGCACCGGCGGACTCCGCGCATGCGCCTTGCGCGCGGTGAGGCTGCTGCGGGCCCCGCCCCGCTCCGGGCGCGCGGGGAGGGGGCGGCGGGACAGGCCGTGAGGGGACAGGGAATAGGGGACAGGGAACAGGTGACAAGGAACAGGTGACAAGGAACAGGGGTGGCTGCTCCTCCTGGAAGGGCACGGCTGGGACGTGTAAGCGCGGGGCAGGTCGCTGAGGTGAGTGAGCCCCGGCTCCGTGCCGTCGCTTTGCCGTTGCTGTTCTCTGCTCTGGGAGGGAGGAGGCGAGCGGGGCCCGTCAGCCCTTATAAATAAGGGGGAGGGAATGGCCTGATGTCGGGTCAGAGGAGGTTTGGGCTGGATTTTAGGACAAGGCTTTTCACCCAGGGGCTGGTCGAGCACTGGGATAGGCTCCCCAGGGTAGTGGTCATGTCCCCAAGACTGCCAGTTCACAAACCTTTTGGACAACGCTCTCAGACACACGGTGGGATTCTTGGGGCTCCCTGTGCAGGGCCAGGAGTTGGACTCGATGGTCTGATTCCAGCTCAGAATATTCTGTGATTGTTTGAAAGTGCGGAGCTCAGAGGAGGGGCTGAGGTGACATGTTCTCAGCAGAGCTTGCATGAGAAACTTCAGGAGTCCCCTGAGCATCCTCCTGCTTTCCCCGTGCGCGTCTGGTCGTTTTATGATTCCAGATTAAGAACCTAGGGAGCCGCAGTGTGGTTTGGTGTGTCCTGAGGCGGGAGGAATGCTGGCCATGTTTGCCATGTCTCGTTGCAGGTTGGCAGCTGGAGCAGAGGGACTCTTGGAGCAGTGGCTGCAGGGACAGGACAGAGATGGTGTCTTTCTTCAGTACTGCATGGAGCATCATCCAAGGTCGTATTTATGCCCGTTTTCTAGAAGCCAAGGAAAGGTCACTTGTCAAGGTCATATGGTAGGCTAGTACTGAACGAGTCTGTCCAGTCCAAATACATTTTAAATTCCGTCATTCCCTGTAAAGCAAACAAGTGGAAATTGTTGATATAGGATAGATGTTGGGGTCATGCCAGCACTATAATTACCCTGTGACAGGGTGTTAGGATTAGGGATATGGGAGATGGCAGAAAGAGCTGGCAGCTGTGGAGGACAGGAGTGGAGGTAGGCCAGGCACTTCAGCAGTGGATGAGGGAAAAGCAGCAATCAAGATAAGGCAGTGCAGTGTATGAGACAAAGCATGATTGGTGCATTCTTAGTTGTAGCACAGTAAAGTCTTAGGGCTGTCTTTTTTTTTTTTTAACCTTTGTTTTTGACTGCACTGTGATTTGGGGAAGGGAGATTGATTCATAACAGACTAGTTTTCTTCAAACAATCCAGTGGGAAAAAGACAGCAAAACCATGCTGTAGCATCTGTGTTTGAAACAGAGAAATGAAGTCCAAGATTAAAGACAAGTCTGATTTTGTGAAGACAGAACCAAATAACTGATAGGTGAAACCTTTAGAACGGTTTATCCATAGTTTTAATTCTCCTGACAGGGAAAAAAATATAACTGGCACATCACTTCATGGCTTTCATCAGCTTATGAGATTGCACTGCTCTGATAAATATAATTATCATTTGCTTTTGCTAATCTTTTTAATAAGTGGAAATTCAGTGTGGCTGTTGCTTACAGCACATAATGTGCCATAACTAATCAAAGGGAGAAGAAAAGGTATAAAAAGGAAGTGGAGAAAGTGAGAATAAACTTAGGTCCGTTAGGAGTTACATTTCAGGTAATTAGTTGCAAAAGTAGAAATAATTGAGAGCACTTTGGAACCGCAAAGTGTAAAAAGTGGGGACAAGGGGTACTACAGGTGTTGGAATGAAAAGAATGTTTTTAAGAGCATTTTTTATATTTTTGTGGGCATGTTTAATGGAAGAAAGAGACTGAAAGTAAAATTAGAGATTAAAAAGATCCATTATCATCTATAGGACCTACTAGAATGATAAAATAATAAAGTGAGCAATGATACCTTTTTCTGGTGTTCTAATTATGTATAATAACATAATAATAATATAACTGTGTCATTTAAACAGTAAGCCACTGGAATATTATCTTTTCCTGAATCCTTCTTCATCTCCTGGAGAAATCCCACTCTGACAGTCTCACAGGGAAGCAATGGTATGTGCCAGCTGCCTTTCTAGATCTCTTTGGCACTGCCAAATGGCTCATGTAACAACTGAGCTGTACCCACTGCTCGTCGAGGACATTAATTTGACCCACCCTTCTCTGCATGAATGCCAGCTCTCATTTGAGCTGCGTGGGTGTAGTTATCCCTCAGGCTTTTTAACTCCTGTTTCAAATTGCCTGATGAGTTCAGAAGTTATCAGGGACAGATTCATAGGCTGAGATAAAAATACAGAAAGCAGTTGTATTCTGAAATGAGGATACAGCTATTGTATGGATATTTTGTGAGGTGTCTGCTGCTTACCAGAAAGTGTTCATCCCAGAACTGTGGAAAGCAACAGGTGGATGAGGAGTTGGGTGTGAAGTGCTCGGCCGCCGTGCTGTGCTCAGAGGAGGAGGAGGAGGAGGGAGGAAGTGTCAGCTCCTGCTTCTTTTCTGCAAACGTTGTCACACAGCTGAAGCAGACAGAACACCTCGCAGCCATGTTAGGTAAGGGCAGCAGGAGCACACTGTGTCCATCCTTTTTCTGGGCAGGAAGTCCATGAAAATGTTATGATAGCCATCATAGCTGAGGGCAGAAAGAGCCTGCTCCATAGCCATCTTGGATAAGGGAAAGGGAGCTGAGGGGACTGTCACTGTTACATTTGTCCCCTAAAGAGCTGGTGTCTGTTTCAAGAGGATGAAATGCAGCTGAGATAGTTCATGTACATACCTGAAAAACATCTGGATTTTGGCTTGAGTGTGTCGAAGTCTTAATGACATGATGAAAAATGAGATTTTTTGCTGAAGGAAGCCTATGGTGAATTCTGTGCTAACTGTAACTGACTCAGAAGGAAAAACACCAAGCAGTATGATAGGCAACTCAGTGCCAGATTTCTGACTACTGTGCAATGATGATCTAAAAGGCTTCCAAATAATTAATACATATCAGACTGAGTTTTCAGTGCAGAGGTATGAGCCAGTTGCTTAGATGCTGCTTCCAGAGAAATTGTTAATTTGAAATGACTGAGGCATGCTGCATAGCAAAAGTTCAGTTTCTAGTGTAAAAATTAAGATACAAACTGATAATGAAAGCAGAATAAACTGGTAAGGAGAAAGTTGGAGATGCAGTTTTCTACTGAGTTCTCATTCTTGAAACTCATTCATCAACAATTTATCCAATCAGTTTTGTAGTGATTTTTAGAAATACAGCAAGTTCCATGTATAATTGCCATACCACATTTAAAATTTGACAGTCTAAGAAGGCATTTATTGCTGTATAGAGCAGTATGGAAATGTAAAGCAAAGTTTGAACTGTTACTTACATCCTTACGTATCTTTTGCAAAACAAACTTGCCTCAAAAGTAGCTTCTAAAAGATTCTGAACCAAGCAGTCAAAAAGTAAGGAACTGTTTCAGAGATGTTTTCTTCAGTGTTAAAAAGATGGATTCTAATTATCATCCCAGATTCAGTGAAGGGGTTACACTTTGTTATTTTAGTGCTATTATTGTTCTTTAGTTTCAGAGTTATTTTCTGTTTGTGACCTTTTAACTCTCTGACTGGTTATGTAAAGAACAATTGCATTATCTTTCAGCATTAATTTTGAAAAAATAAGCAACTCTGCCAGTTTAATTCTCTCTTGTCAGGTAGGTTCTCCATTTATTCCATTTTCTTTCAGGTTCTTCCCTGCTCCTCTTTCTGATTTGCAATAAAAAAAAAAAAAAAAGATATTTTATATACAAATGAGTCTTACCAACATAATATTTACAGTAATGTAATATATGTAGTAAGCATATACTGAATGTACTATCCAATTTACATTATGTAACAAATATGAATGTTTATTCAGTGATTTAAAATATATTATTTATTATGTGCTGTATATCCTATCTGTTTATACATACAATGTACACTGCATAGTATGTTGATAATACATGTATTTGGTATATATACATAAGTGTAATTAAAGTGCATATCATTAATACATGTTATGCTAATATCTAATTTTACATGCCATGTTTTTTCATTTCAAATCAGGCAAGCTGAAATATCTGGCATTTTCATTGCTTTATCATTTTAGCGGAACATAGTCATCATGTGACCAGCTCTTATTTGCTTTTCTATTAATATATCAATTTAACAGTTAATATTAATATTGATTTTTTGAAATGTTTGATATTTTCTGTGTCTGGAAAATTGAAAAGATATTTTAAAAATAATTATGACTTTTTTGTGTGTGTTTATTTAACTGAATGTATTTATTAGACCAACTCTCATTTTCAGATACAAATAAAATCTGCTTTAAACTGAAATCTCAAGGCGGGGGATGGAGGGGAAGGTGAGATGAGCAGATGATATTTATGCAGTTCTTTGGTGTTACTCTGTGGATGTGAGCAGTCTGCACAGTCACTCCCTGCTGAAGCTGATGGAACCTGGCCAGCCAGCAGCCAACACAACATTTGCTGGTACCTGATAGAAACCATCCTGCACAGAGATGCAGGACAGAGCCATGGAGATCACAGCTGTAGGAGCAAGATAGAGCATGGAAGAAAGCAAGGCAGGCTCAAACACTGAACAGTTGTGGATCTTTAGAACCCAGCTGTGCCACGTAGGTATTCTCATTTTTATTCCAGCAACTGACGACATCACAGGGCATGCTTTTTCTAGAAATCTCTTATGTCCAAACCCTTCCAGATATTAACAGATGGCTGTATTTCTGCAAAACAAGGCAGAGGTCCTGGAGATTTGTAAAGGTATACTCTATATACAGAACCCTAGTGTTTTATGAGGCTTTACTACAAATTGTAGAAAAATGCTCTCAGTTAGGCTCCAAACTTTGAAGTCTGTCTTTTGTCCTGTATTGATACTTCCTGAAGAAGAAAGCAATCTCAGATGTTTCTAAATGTTACAATACATGCAGAAATATTTTTCTTTCTCAACTGAAGAAGATAATCACATTTTATCAAAACTAAAATGTATTTAAAATAGCTAAGTGAAAATCTGTCTGAAGCAGTCTTTCCCTAGTTATTGGAAATATCTCCAGTAGGTAAGAATCCTTTCACCTGTACTTTTTTATCAGAGATTGCGTGTCTATTCTCTTAACTTTCTCCGGCCAAAAGATTATTTGTTAAGCATTCAGTGGAATTAATTTACTGTTTAATAAAATGAGCGGAGCATATCAGTCTTATTAACTACTTTATTCTTATTATTTCACATAGATACACTTTTTTTATTCACATGAAACCTTAAAAATAGGGGCCAGCAAAAACTAGAAGGACATGCATGATGATAATAGTTAAAAATTTCAGTTTGTCCATGACAGCAAGAATATAAACAAGGGAAGGCATATAAGAAGCAGTGGCATAGAATCTTTTCTTGAACCAAGTGATAAAAGCTTTTGGCCAGACCATTTCAGTTCTTAAATGGAAACAGCAAATGAAATGCCATTTAGACTCATTGAGCTGAGCTGAACTTGATTAAGCTCAGTCTAAGTCATGTATTTTTGTGGAGAGTAATCTTTTACAGAATTCAGGAGTTAACTACCTGAAAAATCTGTGAGTCTTGCATGGTACCACTGTAAAAATACCTGAAGCAGCTGGAGACAGCGAGAACCTTCCCATAGAGCCCTGCCTGAGGCTGCACACTGCAGAACCCCATTCCTATCTCAGTTTGTATCTAACACTCACTTTGCTGCTAATGGTTTATGATAACTGAAGGCCGGTATATCTCAAATTATTACCATGATAATTTTGTGTGTTATTTTGTCTGATTTATATGTTTGTTTGTCTTTTGTCTAGAAAATTAGACCAATGATCAAAGCATACTTTAATTTCTAGCAGTTTGCTTTTGATAGATAAACAAATGTTGTTAATGGATGTTAAGGAAACAGTGCATCTAACGAGTCATACATTTTCTTTTAAGTACGTATAGATGTATTATCTTAGTTTTAATATTTGCAACTCCTGTTCTGGAGGAAAAATGGCAGGTAGTCATTCAGGTAGCAGCTCATCTACACCTACTGCTGCTGAAGCTGTTCTAGTAGCAGTGAACCAAAAGTCTAGTGTGAAAAGTTAAAAGAGGTTAGGAGTTTGGAGAGTTGCATGCATTATACTTTCTTTTTCTATTTTTTTGCCCTTTTTTTTTCCTTAAATAAAGTAGCTATTTAGCACTTTTAACTCAACAAAATGTTTCATAATGAAATATAAATAACTGTTGGACTATGCTAAAAGAATTTTTAAAAGGTCTTACATTATTAAAGAGCTTGGGCTTTGGCTAAGGCACTAAAAGAGGGTTTAAGAGATTTGGATGCTTTTTTTATTATCCCAGTTTCCTGTGAGGGTGAAGCTGTCCAGCCGTCATCCAGAGGGGTATTTCCACCTCCCTCCTATGCCGTGCTCAGCGGTGCACAGGACACGATGGAGACACGCCTATTAATTACTTGGCGGTCACGTCGGCCCCCAGCAGGTGCTGTCACTGACATGTTAAAGAGGAAAAGAAGCTGATTGATCCGTTGCCTCCAGAGCTGCCCTCGCGAGCACCCCGCTAAGCACCGGTGTGCCGGGCTCCCCGGGGCCGGGCGCGGTGCCTGCAGCCCCGGCAGAGGAGCCGCTTTCCCAGCCCGCGCAGCTCCGCCCGCCCGCTGCCCGTTCGGAGGGGCCGCGCCGAGAGCACCGCAGCCCTTCCCTGGCGGGCCCCGCGGGGGCGCTCCCTGCTCACCGCTGCTACCTCCCCCCCGCTCCCGCACAAATGGTTTGGCCTCGGTGCCCGCTTGGCCCCTCCCACTCCGAGCGGCTCCGGTGGGGGGGCGGAGCCACGCGCGTCACCTGACTCCGCGCGGCGGGGCCGGGGTCGGGGCCATGTCGCGCCGGGAGCGGGACCCAGAGCCTGGCGGAGCTGAGGCGGCTGCGGAGGATGCGGAGCCTGAGAGTCCCGACCAGTGCCTGTCGCTGCTGCCGTGGGACCGCTTCTCAGCCTGGCTGCACTGCGTGTGCGTGGTGGGCTTCGACCTGGAGCTGGGCCAGGCCGTGGAGGTACGTGCGGCGGGGGGCACCGCTCGCCCCGCGGCCTGCGGACTGCGGCGGGGCCCCGCCGGAATCGGGCGCTTCCTCTGGCCCCGATGTTGCACAGGGGCGGGGGAAGCTCGGCCGTGCTTGAGGAAACGTGGTTGTGCGGAGCCCCAGAGCGGCGAGCGGGGCAGCGCCCTGGGGAACTGGCTCGGCTGTCCCGGGTGGGGCTGGTGGTTTTCGGGCAGTTCTTCTCATGGTGCCGCTTGTGCTGTCAGTGAGCGCTTTTAAATGGTTTGCATCGCGTCCCGAGATTTGTATGAAGTACATCGTAGGCTTTCTTTGCATACAAATAGCGCTGATTTCTATGGTATCTAGGTGTTAAAAAGTGTGATAATAAGGAGAATGTGAATGGTGTTCATAATTCTCCAGGTCGCTGAGGTGTGCGGAAAGGTTCTCTACGAGTTTGAAGCGTTTTCTTTCAGCCCGAGCTGGATACCGGCCTGTAGCAGTGTCACAGCTACGGCTGCGACTCCCAGCTGTGCCCTCTGTGCAACAGATAGGGACAGCTGTGGCACTGCTTGGGGAATGCAGGGACAGCTGTGGCACTGCTTGGGGAATGCAGGGACAGCTGTGGCACTGCTTGGGGAATGCAGGGACAGCTGTGGCACTGCTTGGGGAATGCAGGGACAGCTGTGGCACTGCTTGGGGAATGCACGGGCAGGGACAGCTGTGGCACTGCCTGAGGAGTGCACAGGGAGCTCACGGTTCTGGGAAATAGAAGAATTACCGTTCAGATCAGTTTCGCATCCTGTTTCACCCTGTTCGCCATGTGACTGTGCAGTAAACTCTTGGTCTTCAGGCAAAGTGTCTTTTTCTTTGTCTTGCATTAAAGGGCTGCCAGCATAAATGCATAGTGGACTGGCCTAAAATTCAACCAATCCAGCTATTATAATATGTAAAATACATAACTGTTGGCCACAGAGAAATGCAGATAAAACCCTAGCATACTGTGCTAATTATCTGAGTTCTCTTCCCTTGATGTTACAAGCTGGGATTAACAACAAAGACAAGTGTTTCTGTATAACCTGTGACTTGGGCAGCTGTTGTGCTCAGTGGCTAAGGGAAGCACAGCCTCTGTCTTGGCTGCAGACTCCTCAGCTGACAGTCAAGTTAACTTGACACGAGCATAAAATGAGTGCATAAAATGAGACTTAGAATGTATACAGAACTTAGGCCTGGTTTTGTTTTTTTTTTTTCCAGTGGTTATCTGCAGGAAGAATAATTAGCTCCATTTTATATAGGAGTTCTGGGAAGAAACACCTGCTAGTGAGGAGAATTGAGTATGAGTTCAAGTCTGTATGCCAATCTTCTGACTTAATGTGGATAATTTCAGCATCATTCAGCTACTGAAAGAGTTACATTTAGTGTACAGCTGCTTAGCATAAGATAGCAAAGGAAAGTATTAAGAGTTGGAAAAGAGATGGTGATGGGTTTACTTCATGCAGAATGTGGGTATTCCACTTGTATCTGCTTTCAGCTTCAGTTGTGCTAATAATGTCTTACACAGCTGGACATCATTTGATAGAATACTGAGGGGAAAAAAAGAATGCACTGGAGATTTTAGCTCTTCGACTAGGTAGGTCCCATCTTTGGAAGCCTTGAAACCTTCTTTGAAACATAATCCTGGAATTTGTTTTCCTCTGCTTATAAGCTAGACACCCATTTCAGGAATTTTGGAGTGGGTTGTTTTGAGGACCTTTTTAGGTGAAATTTATGTGTCTGAGGTTTGTCCTCTTTCCTGTATATTCTATTCCCACCTGCTTGCATAATCACTGATTTCATACATCTTTTCTTTTTTGAAATAATTGTGCTTCCGCATCTTATGTTGTGTTGCATTGTTTTTGATTTCTGTGCTGTGAAAACTTACTACATAATCTATTTTTTTTTCAGTAAGTACAAAAACCCACGACTTTGAGTTTATTCCTTGAACTTTCACAATTGTCTTTAAGGACTAGTGTTCATCCTCAAAGAGTTGGTAATAATGTAGATTGTGTTTTGTGGTTGAATTTTGGTTACTACAGCCTAACTTTTGATTGCAACAGCTTTCAGGCAGTAATGTGTGTTTGCTTTAAATGTAATCATCTACTGCATTTTGCATGTACAAGTTAAATCTAAAAGATGTAATCTTGTCCTTCTTTGAGACCTTTTGCACCAAAAATCTCAAGTATCTCAAGCACTAAAATCTCTGAACATATACTCTGAATATACCTTTTTAAATGAAAAAATGTGTGTGTGGTCTCTAACTGGCATTCAAAATACCTTGTAAAGATGGGTGATCAAGAAAGCTTAAAAGCATATGAAGATAAGAACTAAGACATAATATTAATAGCTTACAATTGAAAATGGCTTAAAGCTAGGAAGGTGTTTGAGGGTTGTATTGTTAAAATATTTGATGGAAATTTACTGCTTATACCTAGCTTATTTTCAAATAACATAATACTGTTTGTTTTCTCTAGGTGATATATCCTCCACATTCCAAACTCACAGATAAAGAGGTAAGTCATATTTGCTGTATATCATTTGGTTTTAGCTTAGGAAATATATAAACATATCTCAGGAAATATAACAGCTCTCTTTTCTTTTCCTTACCCTTTAGAAAACCAATATTTGCTATTTGTCTTTTCCAGATTCTAATTCGGGTAAGTGCTTTCTTCACTTTGTAGTCGTCTGTTGTTGGACTAAACTGTATTAAAAAAGAATTTGACAGGAAGTGTTCTGAGCTTTAGATCAAATACATATTTATATATCTTAACTAATATTGCAATACAGAAATGTTGCAGCTATGGTTAAATATAAAACTGCAACTGTCTGCACTGCAGCAAGGTCTGAGGATTCTTCTCTGATTTATGTAAGTGTGTAAGACCTTCCAGATGACATTTGTGCAGACGTTTGAGAATACTTGGCAAGTAAACAATGAGCATCTTAATCTCGCTCTTTAAACAATAGTGCTGTCACTGTAGAGAGGAGAGTAGGCACAGAATATGAAGGATTTAATACAGGAAATGGAAGTATACGGAACCCTCTTCTCATAGAGGACTAAATGTATATTTTCTAA